CCCTAACAGAAAGAATAGTGCTGGAGGAATATCAATACCAAATTTCAAACTCTACTACAAAGCCATAGTAATCAAAACAGCTTGGTACTGGCACAAGAGCAGACCTCAGGACCAATGGAATAGAATTGAAAACTCAGAAATGAACCCACAGACCTATAGCCACCTAATCTTTGATAAGGGAGCTAAGAAAATAGAATGGAAGAAAGACAGCCTCTTCAGTAAATGGTGCTGGCAAAACTGGTTAATCACATGTAGAAAACTAAAGCTACATCCTTATATATCTCCCTACACCAGAATCAGCTCCAAACTGATCAAAGATCTCGAGTCAAAGCAGACACCCTGAAAACATTACAGGAAAGAGTAGGAGAAATAGGAATAGGTCTTGTTGGCACAGGCCAAAATTTTCTTAATAGAGACCCAGAAACACAACAAATCAAAGAAAGGTTGGAAAAATGGGATTGTATGAAGCTGCAGAGCTTTTGCATGGCAAAGAACATAGCTTGCAAGATCAATAGAAAGCCCATGGATTGGGAGAAGTCTCATATCTAAAATATACCTGGAACTCAAAAAATTAAATCCTCCAACAACAAAGCCTCAAAGAAATAATCTCCTGATTATTAAGTGGGCTAAAGACTGAAAGAGAGACTTCTCTGAAGAGGAAGTAAGAATGGCCAATAGACATATGAAGAAATACTCAACCTCTCTAGCCATAAAAGAAATGCAAATCAAAACAACATTGAGATTCTACCTCACCCCGGTTAGAATGGCTATAATCAATAACTCTAATAACAACAGATGCTGGAGGGGATGTGGCCAGAAGGGATTAATGGACCATGAAAATCAAAGAAGGCTTTACATAGCAGAAATTAATAGGTTTAGGGAAAATTGTGAGGAGAAAATAAGATTAGAGGAATGCAGGCAGGGAAAGGGAGAGAGGGACTATAAACAAGACCAAAATGCAGAGAGAGGAAAATGATAGAAGGGAAGGAGAAGAGAGATTCTGACAAAGGAAAAATGAAAAATAAAAAATTGAAAATGAGACACTTAAAATTATATAAGTATAAAGAAATAATATTACAATTAAAGAAGTTAAGGCTGAGAGTTTATGAAGTGAGTAATTGATATCTGAATAAAGTATGCACACAATGAAGGATAAGGTCTAATAATCAAAGATAGGTATATATCTGGGGATGAACAGAACAGCAATTAACTAAAGCAAAAAACTGAAAAAGGACCAAAAGGGAAAATAGTAAAAAGAGAGTTAAAAAAATCTAAAATAAAAATGATGAAAAAAAAGAAAGCAATTTTTAATTATGTTTTTAAATTAGGTAGAATAAAGAGTTCTTCGATTTTTGTTGTTGTTGTTGTTGGGGACCTGGTGTCTTCCCTGTGTCTGTAACCAGTCTCTTGGTGGAGTTTCTGGTTTGCTTGTGGTGTTTGGTTTTCCTGTGGCTTGACTGGTTTCTTAAATCTGTTTGAGCAATCAGAAGGAAGCTCTGCCTTACCAGGGACTTCATGACCCTCCTCCCAGGCTAGTTCAATGGGAGGGCAATCTGTTTTGAGTATCACAAAAGAGGGGATGGCTGTTTCCTCTAGCTTGGAGTTGCTGTGATTGGGCTAGGTTGTGGGTAGGGTTGAGGCCTGTCAGCGATCAGGCTAGCTCCTGAGACACTCACACAGCCCAGCCTGGAGCCATTTTCAGGATTTATGTGTATGTGTTTCCAATTGTTTTTATTTTACCCTCCTGCAGTTAGGTCTGCTGCCTCTGCTGCAGTGGGGAGGGGCAGCCTCTGGCTCTGTTACCCAGTGAAGAAAGCCATTCCTCCATGGGCGGAGCTCCCTCTGCCTGGGAAGGGCAACTTCCCCCTGTGTGGAGCTGAGCCCTGCAGGTCAGGTTCCTTTGACCTGTTGAATGGCTCCTATAGTCTTCTTCCAAGGCCTTAGTTATGTGCTAACTGCTCTGGCCCTGTCTTTGTCAGTATCAAAGATGGAGTTCTTGTCTGGTGGTGGGGGAGGGACTATCTTACTACCGCTGATCTGTGAGAAGGAGTGAGTATATCTTTTGGGGTAGTCACGTCTTTCCCTTGGCCATCCATGTCAGTGGTCAGCAAGATGAAGATTTCTGCTCCTTGTCAGTTCTTGCTGGCTATGAGTAGAATCTTCTCACATACAACCTCTGACATCTTTGTCCTGGGCTCTCTCTGTTGATATGGCGGCCATGGAAGCTCTCGTCGCCACCACCGTGGACACCAGTGAGTGCTTGAATCTGTCTCCTAACCAAGCTACTTGAATTTTTCCTCTCTGGCCAAACACTCTGTACTATGATGACACACTTGGTGTGACTCTCTAGCCTTGGAATTCTCAATGGAACACGAAAACTGGTTTCTGCTTGATAGCTTGTTTAGCCCACAGGTTCTCCTCTGCCATCTTTCTCTACCATAGTAGTTTTCTTCTTTTTTTGTCTGTCATGGGGCTTGAACTCTGGGCCTGGGCACTGTCCCTCAGCTCTTCAGCTCAAGGTGAGTGCTATAACACTTGAGCCACAGTGCCACTTTTGGCTTTTTCTGCTTATGTGGTGCTGAAAAATCAAACCCAGAGCTTCATGCATGCAAGGCAAGCACTCTACCACTGAGCCACCTTCCCTGACCAACACAGTAGTCTTTTAGATAAACCATTAACTTTATTTTTCTTTTTAGTCCTTTTTTTGTATATTTTTTGTCTGCTAATTGATGATCAGAGAAGTGCCTTCCAAATATTGATGATGTTTTGCAAACTTGGGGGAAATGGTGAAAGAAATACAATTTCGTATGTAATTTGCAGATGTATGCTAGTTCTGGTCGTGTACATGAAAAGTGAGTAGAATTGCATGGATATAAAATACATATACTATGTTTACAGCAGTGGTTTCATATTGGCAGATGTTAATAATCCACTTCAGCTAGTGTTTTTAAAAATCTCTTTGGGGCCAGGTGCCAGTGGCTCACACCTCTAATCCTAGCTATTCAGTAGGCTGAGATCTGAGGATCTCCGTTCAAAGCCAGCCTAGGTAGGCAATTCCATGAGACTTTTATCTCCAATTAACACCAGAAAACCAGAAATGGCACTGTGGCTCAAGCACTAAAGTGCTCACCTTGGACTGAAGAGTGCAAGGACAGCACCCATGACCAGAGTTCAAGCCCCATGACTGACAAAAAAAAATATCTCTTTGGTACCAGGAGCTAGTGGTGCACACCTGTAATCCTAGCTACTCAGGAGGCTGAGATATGAGAATTATGATTTGAAGCCAGCCTGGGCAAGAAAGTCCATGAGGCTATTATCTCTAATAAACTACCAAAAAAGCTGTAAATGGCACTGTTGCTCAAGTGGTAGGAAGCTATCCTGGAGCAAAAGAAGCTAAGTGACAGCAACCAGTCCCTGAGTTCAAGCCCCGGGACCAAGAAAAATGTCCTTTTGGTAATTATTAGATAATTAGTGAAGTAAAAGTAGTGTACTATTTCAGCGATGACTAGTCCTAGAAGTTCTCCATACAGAAATTTTTATTGTATCAAGTTGTCTCTATGGACCCCAGATACTGCTTCTGTGTTTACTGTTTTCACAAAGAAGAAAGAAGCAGTAAATCTAATTAGTAAGTTAGCTCCCCCATCTTTCTTGTTGGCCTAATAGGATATAAAGAAAATTAAATATGCTTTCCTTTGTGGGAAGTACAATTTCAAAATGTAGAAGAAAAAGAGATAAAAGTGATAAATCTGAGTTTTGTTATCTAATCAAAAATATGTCTTTGTATGTCTAGAGTTCTAATTCCTAAACCATAATACAAATAAGCAAGTAGCTAAAGAGTTCTAGGCCAGTGATGTTGTTGTCAGTTCCTGTGTACTTTACATGTAGTTTTCTTTTAAAACAGCTATATTAGTTTACTTTGTTTTGAGGAACACATTGAGGAATACTCTATTACAGTCTAGTAAAAAAAAAGTAAAAAAAGGCATCATGATTTCAAAATGCAATAATATTTGTAATTATTATTTAAGATTTATCATGACTATAATAACAATAGTTAGTATACGTAAATTGTTTACTACCATATTTGGTTCTTAACTGATTCCATTTGCCATAAAGCCTTTCTTTACCAAGAGACTTTGTGTCAAAGAATATACAGGGATAAAAAGGAGTATTACATCTTTTGTGGTGAATTTTTAGACCCCAGGGTCTGGGTGACGACTCTTACCACTATAGAGATAGCTGTTCAAGTCATTTCATATAGACAACTTTCTCTCAAAACTCTAAGTAATGAAAACCTAAGAAATGTAGTTTGTTTGTTTGTTTGCTTGCTTGCTTTTACTGGGCACTGGTGTCTTATACCTGTAACGGTAGCTACTCAGGAGGCTAAGATCTGAGGATCACAGTTCAAAGCCAGCTCAGGCAGAAATGTTTATGAGACTCTTCTCTCTGATTAACCACCAGAAAACCAGAAGTGGAGCTGTGGCTCAAACTGGTAGAGTGGTAGCCTTGAGCAAAATAGCTCAGGGATGGTGCTCAGGCCCTGAGTTCAAGTCCTATGACAACAAAAATAAATGTGTATTTTCCTGCCACATAAGGAAAGAGGCTAATTTCTTTTATTTCTTTTTTCTTTTGTTGGTCATGGGTCTTGAACTCTGGGCCTGGGTGCTGTCCCTGAGCTTTTCAGCTCAAGGCTTGAGCTCTACCACTTAAGCCACAGTTCCACTTCTGGGTTTCTGGTGCTTAATTGGAGATAAGAGTCTCCAGGATGTTCCTGCCTGGTCTGGCTTTGAACTGCGAACCTCAAATCTCAGCCTCCTGAGTAGCTAGGATTACAGGCATGAGGCACCAGTGCCTGACAGTTATTTTCTTCAGATTAGAAAAATTGTATCCTCTTTGTCTGCTTCTAGGTTTGCAGAAGAAATAACCAAAAAGTGGTTATGTCTTTTTGAAGGCAGTGGAATCCCGTATGGTCCAATCAACAGTATGAAGGAAATATTTGCAGAACCCCAGGTTTGTACTGGAAGTTTTTGGTTGTTTATCTTTTCTATCCAGATTGTTTATATAAAAGTATGTTAGCCATCAGTCTTAAGGTGAAGCCATATACTATGAATTTTTTCACCATTAAGTTCAAACAAAAATAAAATCTTAATTTTAAACCAGCCATCTACAATCATACTTCTCCATCTGTCAGATCTAACATATTTCCTCACATAAATTCTCAAGGTCAAAACATTTATTTTTTCCTGAAAACAAAACTATAGATAAAGAGGTTGGGGCCAGACTCTCAGAGATCATTTTTTTTGCAATATATATGAGAATTTTCACTGTTACACCCAACTTCTGATCATATTGCTATCTTAAAATGCCCTAAGCAAGTCCCATTTAGTTCTGCCAAGTAAAGGCTTTTATGTGCTTTGATTAATATGTGTTGTTTGTGAGTCATAATTACATTCCAGTAGAGATTGTGGTCCATTGCTTAACAGCTTCCTTGGGGCCTAGGTAGAGGATGAACTGGAAAAAAAAGTTTGTTCTACAATATTGTTTAGATAATTAGATTTAGATGCTTTTAAGTATTTTATTTTTATTATTTCAATTAATATAACTACAAGGACTGTACCTTGTCTCAGCTTCACATATTAACCCTCAAATATTGAGAAACTCCATTTTCCTGAAAAGCTTTGTCTATTATTAGTCACATATCATGTCAGTTTCCAATATTTTTAAATTATAGGGTTATTTTCCCTGGTTCTTTCTATAATGATATGTTTTAATTAGAATTTAATGATTGAAAATGGAATATACCTTTTAGATATAGGAGGATAGTGTCAGAAAATTTATCTCTTTAACTTAGTTACCTTTATTTTACATGAATATATGTATAAAAGGAATTTACAGCATATTTAATTCTGAAACTTGAGGTATACTTGAGGAAAAAGGTGAATGAACTCAAGAATTCTTCTTTGTGTTTTTTTTTTCTGCCAAGACTGAGAATTTTGTTCATAAGGAAATATAAGGGCCAATGTGAGTTGGAGAATACTGTGTAGCTCTCTAGAAGCCTCAGACATCAGTGCATTAATACCTTGTGATTTGTAGCAATGAGGAAGGCACATAAACACCTGAGTGTACACTAGAGAGCCCGAGTTTTCTCTGCATAACTTTGAATGAGAAACAGCCCTGTTTTAGACTGTTGGACTAAGGGCTGCAGGATTTTAGGTTTATTTCCACTGGGGACACATTTCCCTGGAGATTATTTCCTTAGAGATTCAAAGGAAAGAATTTATTCTTAAATATCAATAGATGTATTCTAATATGACCTATCATTTTAAATTTTTGCATGCAAAGACCCAAAGCTTTACCTAGGTAGTATCTTAAACTTGTTCACATGGCATGATAATTCAGCATGAATATAGGCTAATTGGTATTTTCATATCTAATTTCCTCTTATAGTTCAGTTTAATCACTACAGAGAAAACAAATTACTTCAGTTATTAACTTTTCCTCTCAACTATTTTGGACCTGCTAAGAATTTTCTATTTTTGTTCTACAGTATATTTTTGGTACTCAGGCTTTTTAGTAAATGGAGAAGATTCATATTACCTGCTAACTTTTATACTTTGGTGGTAATTTGACTAACCAAAAAAAAAGAGTCAATTCGAAGTAATTCTTGTTACAGTTCTAGCATCAAACATATTTCATCATCTTGTGATGATTGTTGATAATTGTACCCCGGAGGCAAGAGGTTGTTTTATTTTTTATATACAACTTTACTCTAACTTGGAATTTAATTTAATTTACCCGAATACACGTGTGAAATTCAAGTGGATTTTTTGAAACCTAGAGAGTTATGTGACACTATTATTTAAATATTTGTGTGTGTGTGCCTGTCTCTGAGCTGTTTTGCTCAAGGTTTTCTACCCCTTGAGCTACAGCTCAACTTCTGGCTTTTTGGTAGTTAGTTGGAGATAGAGAGTCTCACAGCATTCCTTGCCAGGCTGGCTTTGAACCACAATTCTTAGATCTCAACCTTCTGAGTAGCTACAAGTACAGGTATGAGCAAGTGGTACCCAGCAATTACATTTTATTGGTAAAAAACGAGTGTGGAAATTGTAAATCGTGGAATTGTGCTACATACAAGTGGCTAGGGAACCCTCTTTACGCTTGGAAATGTTGTGTTGGGGTTTTTAACGAAATAATTACATAAAATTTCAAATTTTAAAAGTAAGGTGCAATGCAGAAAAATCATATTTAAAATGTTGTGAGAAAATACTTTATGAAACATGACGGTACTGTCTAAAAATGATTGTTCTTTGATTTGCTCAGTAAGTCTAATAAAGATTTACTAGGGATTTGTCTTTGTATTTTTGAAAAGGTCAGATTTGACTTACACATCATGTATACTAAATGTTTGTGGATTTGTAAATTAACAAATGAAAAAGCTGGTGAGCTGTATGTAGCAAGCACCAGGATTTCCAGATTTTTATACAACCAGACCCTGAATGTCTCTGGGGCTGACAGGCTCTTCCCACAGGGTTAGTGGAATTGCCCTTGGTGATCTCAGGAGACCGAATGTAACATAATACTTAGGACCATTGAGTCAAAATTGGTGGACAGTTTTCCCTACATTGTTGAATTGTAGTGTTTCATGGGATATTTATCAAAGAGAAATGACGATTGCTGGGTGATAAATGGTCAAAGTATGGTTAAAATCTCTCAGTATAACTGTGCTCTTAATGGTTATATTTTTGCCATCAATGCCTTCTTTTACTTACCTGTGTTAGTGGATAGAGGCAAATCCAATGTGGCCCTGAAAACAGGGATCCTTCATTTTAAAATCATATGCTACTCATCTGCTGTGGAAGTTTATCCTCAAGCTCAGTGCCAAGAAGGTCTCAACCTTTTCTCTTTTTTGATTACTGACAACCCTTTTATTTTTCATTCTCCATCAAAATGTTATGTAAGTATTATTTCCATTTGAGGTGTCCTCCCTTGCTTTCCCTCTGATGAGCTGCAGTTTCTTGGCTCTGGGCACAAAAAAACTGGCTATTTGTGTTTGGATGTGGGAATGCATGGCTGGCGCCATCTTCCTGCTCTCCTTGTGCATTGTGCCAGCACAGCTGCTCATTCATCTAACAATTACTTTGGGTGAGGTACAAGGCCTGGAACATGGCAGGCAGGCAGGAAGGAAAAAGGCTTTGATGAAGTGAAAAGGGGGCTGTCCAACCAGGAAAAAGGAAGGACCGGAAGCCTCAAGAAGTAGAAGAAAATTCTGTGTGTCCACTGATCAGATGGACCATCTGTGGCATGAAAATTTTGGTAAATGAAAAAAAAGCATACTTGACAATAGAAACGCTTTCTAACTCAGCCTCATGTTCCAAAGAAACTTGCTTCTTTGATTCAACTGAAACAACAGATGATCTATTTTTTTCTTGGATAGGTGGAAAGTTGTCTACCTTTTATCCTCTGATTTAATGCTATAGACCTTTGCACAGTTAAAATGATGCTTTAGGCAGGCATCTACTGTTAAGTCCATCAAGAACTCTATGGAGTCTTTTTCTTTGGCTTTGAGAAATGTTTTTACTAAACTTCAAAGGATCAACTAGACCCCAATACTTATTAAAATGGGGAAACAAATAGAAAAAGGAAGGAAATTTCCATGTTTTTATTTTTGAAGTAAATGTTAGAATGAGAAGTATAACTTAATAATAACTGTAAAATAGGATTATAAGACAGTATGTTATAATGATTAAAACCCCATTTTAAATAATATTGCTAAATAGAGTCAAATTTGTGTATGACAAAAGTTATGATCCAGCAAATTACATTTTAGGAATAAAGGAGAGTGTGTTATTTGTGTTTTTTTAAATTTTATTATTTATTTATTTAATTTTTTTATTGTGAAAATACTGTACAGAGGGGTTACAATTACATGAGCAAGATAATGAGTACATTTCTTATCAAGCATTGTAGCCTCCTC